TTTGTTTGTTAATTTTCCAGAAATGCTTATTTTATATTCATACCTCTGTTAATATGGTGGGATCAAATTCATTTCCATATTGTGACAGACTCATGTTTTATATATTATGCACATGTGCATAGCAATGCATATTGCATGTGCATCTATTCATTTATTTAATTATATATGTTTTTACTTGCAGCACACTTCTACAGCTGAATTATGTAATTATTCATTTAACCTGTAGTTAAGTGTATTGATTTTTAAATGATTCTTTTCCAGAGAGGTCCAGAGTTAGCCTCAGGGTGCTAATTATATTCTGGCCATGGTCATTTTGTATCTTTTAGTTTCATTGGTTTTTTTAGTATTGTCTTATCGTTTTCTATTGGTTTTTGTGTTTCCCTCCAAGTTTTCTTTGTATTTTTGGGTAATTCTTGCTTGGTTGCCATATGTGTTGGAAGTGTTTTTGTCTCTGATTTTCCATAGTTGTTTTACAAATCAGACATTGACCTTGGGACCAACATTTCCTATTGCATGGTAAGTAATTCTTTAATACTAATGAGTAATATAATTCTAATTCTATTAAATGTGAAATCTGTAATTTTTGCACTTAATTCCTTTAATCACTTTTCTGGAGTAAATGTATAATGAGAGTGAGACCTTAGATATAGAGTTATGTGTAAATAGTAAATACAGTGCTGTCTCACTTTTTCATATTTTTAAAGTAAACTTTATTTTATGATTAGTATAGATATCTACAAAGGTGTTTATTGTTGATTTGTAGATATTATCCTAGTACATATACAGTTTTGTGTATGCAGCTTATATGCTGTTGTACAGCATTTGACCCATTCCCATTGAATGGTACGCATGTTCATTGTTTTTATGCTAAACAATAATTGATAATGTACATATACATTGGAATAATAATTATTGTAAAGATTTTATTCTAAATATTCATTAATTAAAGCAATGGGAGATTTTATTATGTAATTTTCATGTAATTGAATTATCTCCCTTGATTCGGATAAAGCTATATGATATATTGATTTGTACATATATATTGATGAATAGCTTTATAGTTATTATGCTTAGAATTTATAATTTGTTATTTCATTATAGGGTTTTGATGATGATGATTGATGATTATCTATCCATTGAATAAAGATTTACTGTCTTGTTCAACGCGAACCAACAGCCTTGTTGTTCATTCTTAACGACCACACAATTACTTCAACACAAGTCTGTTACAATATGTCCACCCTTGATCACATGTCTTGGTTTGATTTTGGGTTGAGGATTTCATCACGTATTTCTCAAAATCTCCATTTGAGTCCATTGGAATAATGACTGTCACAGATTTATTTACAGGCACCTATTGGATGAGATTAAATTTAAATCTTAGGATTCCCAAATAAGCCAACAAAACCGTTACACATATCACAGATCTTTCCACGAAATATGAGGAGTTGTTCTTCCTACACTTTGAGGAATTTATGCAATAATTTAATTTTACAAGAAGGAGAAAGTTTTAGACGCAGTACTAAAATACCCCAAATATTAAAGTTCAATGAATGCTCTATCCCCTCCCCTTGGAAAGTTATTACCAATGTTAATATTTTTGAAAATAGGCTGAAAATTGAAGTCATTAGTCAAAGGGGTCATAAAACAAAATCTATTTACAAATGTTTTGTAATAGGTAATATAAATAATAAGAAAGTCCTTTATCTTCTAATTCAAAAGTTATGAACAGGTAAAAGTAATGATAAAATTTTTGAAAAGTAGGTCAAACTTCAAGGTCAAGGGGCCAAAGTCGAAGCACCCTATATTGGATAGATTCTTTCCAAGGTACATGCAACATAAAAGTGAAAAAATTAAATCCCTTTCTTTTCTCATTCAAAAGTTATAACCAAGGTGACTTTTTCCTGTGACAAGACCTTCCATTGGGCACAATATTTTGACCCATAGACCATGGACTGGAGATTGAGCTATTTTTAGAGAAACTAACCTTGACCAGTAGTAAGTTTTGACAGTTGATGCTAAGAATTTCATATTTCACTGTATTCCTTGTGAGGAGAATTTTTTTTTAGATTTCAAAATCTTGATCTCTTGATCTTGCAATTGAGTTTGGCCTGCAATTGATAAACTTGTTTTGATGTAAGAATATTGAATATGTATGTTGATTGCTTTGACAAACATGTTTTATGCATTTCCAAACACTTGATGCCCAAAGACATAATTAACATTCACATGTGTGTATGGATCCCTCAATATTTTCTTTAAGAAAAACAAAATTTCAACAAATATCTTATCAGTCTTTTTAATTTATTGATATCAACTCAACTTCACTCTTTACATACAAGAAAGAAACCCCTTCTCATCAGAATATATTTGATCAAAAACACAACAAAAACAAACTTGTAATGAATAATGTAACTCAAGATTTATGCATCTGAGAGAATTATACTGTCAATGTTTTTTTTTATATATTTACTATCATAATAAAGAATAAAATACTTTAGAGATATGACAGCACTTAAAATTTCCAAAAAAACATTCTTAAAAGTATATGACTTTCTCTTTTAATAACATGATGTAATAAGGTGTATAAACCCTATTTTACAAATCCTGTTACTTTTGAAATCCAAATGCTTAGGAGAGTGCTAGCTTCCTTAATAAAATAAAAAGAAAAGCACTTCAAATGTTCCCTGCTGTCTATATACCATTGACTTTGACCTTCATTCATGGGATAGATATGTTTCTAAATATGGGTACATGTGTAGTTAAAAAAGGTCACATTAAAGAAACATCAAAATTATTGATTCACAATGGTTATTTTGACATTTTGACAGAAAAACATAAAGAATAAAATAAAATAAAAGTACCAGAAACTCTTAACAAACAAACAAATAACTGCCTCTGACGAATAACAAATCATAAACTTTGTTTTAAGACCTCTTACCTAAATAAAGGTATTCATTCTCTACAATATCAAGTCATTTATACCAAGTATACAGAACAAATCTGGTATTTCATATATACTTTTCCTATATTTTTAAGTATAATAATTCCAGAGACATTTACCACTAATGAAGAACTGCCTTTATCTGTGTCAGATAAGTAAACCAAAAGTAAAACTAGTAAATGCCCCTCCTAAGAAATCCTCTTTATAAGAAACATTAATATTGATGTTTACTCTTATTTGATTTAGTGGTCTTTGAAACATTAGTTAATTGAGCAATAACAACACATGTATTGTTTATGTTACAACATAAAATCCATCTAAGGGACGTAATTTAAATGCTATATAACCAGATCTATATTTCACTAATAATAAATGTAAATGCATGAAAACAGATTGACTGCAATAAAACAATCAAACACTGGTATCAGAAATATAATTCTATCAAAAATAACTCAAACACTACAAGATATGTCTAACATAATGAGATCAAAACAAGTAGCACTAAAACATCTGTTGAGGTGAATGTTTTGGCACAATAGTGATCGACACAATCATTTGAAGGTTTGTTCTTTTGTTGAAATAAATGTCAAAGTTAATTGTAAAGAACATAAAGAAACTGTGGTTGAACTCCACGTTTAACTTTGTGACCGTGTGTCACCCAAGTGACCTTGACCTGATCAGGTATGTAACCTTGACCTGGTCAGAGATAGGTGTTCTCAGTCTGAGTGGCTGCCCCTCTGGTGAAATGTTCCACGTCCTCGATGGTCTCGGGGAGGGGTTTCTTGTGAGTCTCGGGGAGAAAGCATGCCAAGATTCCCCCCACAACCATGATCACTCCAAACACGACTAAAGGAATGTAAGACTGGGAGCTGCTGGTCTGAAAACAAAAGGCAGAGGAAGTTAATTATAGAGTAATTCACTGTCTAAAATACAGAAATGGAAACATTCTCAGATTTAAAGCAACTTCTAGTTTGAAAATTCCTACATACCCTTTATATATTTTTGAAATACTGAGATTTGTTTTTCTACTGTTAATGCTTTGTTTTGAAAAAAATTATGCATAATGTTTGACATATTGAGGCCACATTAAAGGAATAAAATTTTGGTAGGTAGCCATATATAGGACTGAAATAAGTGTTGTTTTACTGAACAAATCCTGAAATACAAATACTTACTGCATAGACTATCAGAGGTGCAGCTATTCCACCTAAATTCTCAAAGAAAGACGACAGCCCCACGGCTTGGTTTCTACAAATACATGTAAATAAAAATGGCTTAGTACAAATGCTTTAATTTACAAGGATTTTTTTATTAAGTACCGAGTTTTTTTATGAACAAGACGCCTATAAATTGACAAAAATGGACAGTTTCTGACAAAAATTCAACTCCCAAATTATCAACTTCTAGGCAAATATATATACGGTAGTAATTAATGTAAATAAACACTGTCACTTTGACATCAAGAACAATTTCTTTTGTCCAATGACTGTATCATACCTGACAACTGTGGGAAAGATTTCTGAGGAGTAAAGGTAGGACAGAGAATAAGCCCCAGTAATCCCAAACTTTCCGATCATGGCGGCTGTTATCTGTAACCAGGTTAGGTCAACACCAGAATCTAAAAACAATCTGATGAATTAGGTACATACAATGAGAAACAGTGCTGGTCCATCTTTTTCTTTGTCTGGATGTTAATGAGTTTACATACGTGATTTTACCTGTTTGACTGGGGATGAATATAGTTATAATGTTCATGATCCCTGACAACAGTAGGAAGAATATGACAGGTCTTCTACGTCCAACCCTGTAAAATAGAGAAAACAAATAATTCAGTACAAACAGAAACCGTGACCTGTTACTGAAAGCGAAAACAAGAGACCTCTTCTGACAGAACCCCCCCCCCCCGACTTTTTTAAAATCCATTATATTAAATGATTTATTTATTTCATAAAATTAAAAAACAAGGGAGATAATTCCAGTACCAGTTGATGATAAACATGCAGATAATCAGAGCTGGGATCTCAACAATCCCACTGATCCCTAGGTTCAGGAATTGGTTACCATGGAGCTGGGGCGTGGCAAAGAGAATCCCAAAATAACACACACTGTCAGCTGTCCTATAAAACAGGAACAAATATGAACTATCACATTTCAATATATCCTTATCAATAAAAGTTCATTATTAAACGATACCTTTCAATACGTTGAATAATCTAAAAGCTCACAACAATTATTTTAGTACATGTATTCCAAATCATTTGTGTAAATGAACAATGCTTTCCTAAGAGTTGATTTTAATTTTATACATACATGTATTTATTAAAAAAATTACCATAAATAAAACATGATTAATGTGTATGTCCTCAACTTGGTAGTCTTGAAGAGGTCAAGGACGGTATATTTCTTTGTGTCCTTTGACCTCAGGAGACCCACTTGACTTTGACCCACACCAGCTGGGTCCACTGGTTCCTGTTCTTGGATAGCTAGCAGTTCAGCTGGAATCTCCTTCCTGTTTACTTTAGCTGCAAACTTTGCCACAGATTTAGCCTGAGTATACTTCTTGTTAGCTATAAGCCATCGAATAGATTCTGGTAAAAACCTAGATCACAAAGAAATTTACCACTGATAACAACAGTATTTTGGTTATTTATATCTGAATTAGAGGTAAAATTATAATTTGTACAATATGAAGTATTGGTTTAAAAGTCTATAAAATACTTATAATTCATATGTATATGTAACAAAAAATAAATGACATTAATTAATAAAGAGTCCTTCTATATTGGGTGATTTTACATAAATTAATGCAGATATTAAAACAGCAGAAGATAGGTAGGGATTTTTTAAGAATCATAAAACAGTGGGTAAAGCATTTTCATACCAGGCATAAATGAGAGTGAGAAAATTTGGTACTGAGATCACGAGCTGTAGGGTTCTCCAGTCTCGTATAAAGTACCCCAGGACTGCCAGCATCACCAGCCCCACCCCCCAGGAACAGTTAATGCCCACCGAGGGAAAGGAACGATTGGAAGCCGGAAACATCTCTGTTACCATGACATAGGTCGTCAAGGCAATAGGCTGAAACAAAATACACGTAATATCAATTTACAAACATGAAAAAATATTAATTTTGGTAATTTTTAATATATTTTAACATCTTGAATTTCATGGAATAATTCAACTAATTTTTAACATCTTGAAATTTCACTAAATAATTTAACAAATTTAGTTTTGTTAATGTCAGTGATTAAAACAAGAGGCCCACAGGCCTTATAGGTCACCTTAGTATCATATAACAACTTTCCAACTATTGAATTGGTTCATGTTTTAAATCAAAGGCCAAGAAATTTAAAACTTTAAAAGAGGCACTATTGCTTATAATAACTATGCACTTAGTTTGCTTACTTTGGTTACTTAATACCCAGAGGTTTATTTAGTAACAAAGAGAAAATAAATTTCCACCTTATAACCAGTTGTGCACTCCACCCCAAAGGAACCACTGAACCTGGGGGCACAAATTTCTATATTTTGGTAGTTTTATAATGAATTTTATTTCATCACAAGTGGTTGATTAATACCAAAAAGTACATTTCAAAGCATTTATATATTTTCAGACTATGTAACCCCCACCCCAAGTACCCTGACCCAGGGGCCTTGAAATTAACCATTTTAGATGAGGCACCTTTCATCATCATTTATTTAATAATAAACTTGCTTCAGATGCTGGATTTTAATAACATTTTTGTGATGAAAAACTAGTCTGAAGTTTTATATAGGTCTATTACAAAGTATCAGATCAAATTGCTTAAATTTTGAATTTTTTGTACCCTTTTTGTTGGTTGAGCTCTGTGAGGTAACAACAAAATCTGTGATCTCTGATTACCTATGTTTATGTATATTCATATCTATACAATGGAGTCCACATGTTTCCAAATAAAGTTTGAGAACATTTTTTAAAAATCTTTTTTTACTTGTTTAGTGCTTAGGGACAAACACTACAAATTTTTTTTTATATTTAAATGTTCTTATTTTTTGTTAAATTAATGTTCGAGATATAGAATGACCTATTTGCAATTTTGTGCTGCCTGGTAATACATGTACTTTACAACCTCTCTAATTCGTTTTTTTAAATACCAACTGAAACTATATTTAAGTTCATTTTTCTTCATAAAATTCTAGCATTTTCATCATTTTATATCTGGTCAAAACTCTTCATAAAATTCTAGCATTTTCATCATTTTATATCTGGTCAAAACTCCTGTTAAAGTAAACTTATTTTTTGTTTAAGAACATTTTTTGGACTTCTCAGAAAATCATGAGTGGAAAGAGTAGATTGTACGTTGCATTATATGTCTTTAATTATGTTTAATTACAGTAGAAAATTATGATGACTGTCAAATTCACATGAAGTGCATTATTCATATTAAAAAAAAAAAGCTGCAATACAAAGAATGTTTGCTTGAATGTTTAAATGCCCCTTATGGACCAGGAAGTAAAATCACCTGACAGGTAGATAACACAGGTACATGTATACATATCTCATGATCAGTCCATAGAGAAAGACTACTAGATAATACATGTGTGTCAGTATATACAGAGATCAAGAGACAGGACGGCCACTGTTACTTAAATCAGGTAATAAACATTGCAGTAACTCTTTGCAAATTTTGAAAATTCAGTACTGTACGCTTTACCTATGTAAACAGTATCTCTTTAACTCAATGATTCAAAAAATCTTGAACATGATGACTTGACTATCGCTATCTACATGTGATTATCTGAAGAAAAAAATTCTGCATGCTTAATGGCCTCAGATATACAATTTTATTTTCTGCTCTATCAAAACATTTTTTGGCCTCAAACCTGTATACTCATTAATGCTAAATTTTTATGCTTATGTGAAATGATGGACCCCCGTACCAGTGCCCAGGACGTGATGCGATGTGACCTGTGTGAGACCTCTGTGGTACAGATGCACTGTGATACATGTCTTGTCAACCTGTGTACAGTCTGTGTAGGAAAACATATGATATCTGATGAATCCAAAAAACATGAAGTTGTCCCTTTCAAGCTGAGAAAATCCACCCCCCTCTACCCTATATGTACATCTCATAACAAAGAACAATGCATTATGTACTGTAAACAATGTGACATTCCTGTCTGCAGCGACTGCATTGAATCTAATCAACATTTATGTCATGAATTATCTAAAATTCTGCGAGTTCTGAATGAAAAGAAGGATATTATTATTAAAGAGAGGAATGAATTAAATGGTACAATATATCCCACCTACCAGGACATTGCCTCTGATGTACAAAACAGAATGAGTCAGTTAGAAATGGAATATGGAGATCTCTCAACAGCCATAACAAAACATGGAGAAGACTGGCACAGAGAAATTGACAAACTTGTCAAGAAACTTAAAGCTGAAGTTGATGAGATGAAAAACACACAGTTACAAACTCTACAAAAACATCTGGATGAAATAAACAAGACAATGTCTGACATCAAGGATGAAATTCATTCACTTGAAATAGCAATAGACACTAATGACTTGTCAAAACTATTTAGTGTCACACCCAATGTACAAATATACAGAAATCTTCCGCACAAAATTACACTGTCTTTACCCGAATTCATACCAGGAAAAATCCATGAGGAACTTTGTAAACTGTTTGGCACCTTATCACCAAGTTCTTTTACTTCAGATAAAAATGGCTACAGCATGAAGACAACACAGAAATCACCAGAAGCTGGATCCTCTCCTCCAGTAAAACAGCTGCTTGATGAACCAAAGACTGTCACCACCATAGACACTGGGTATAGAGAACTTTACCGTGTGTCCTGTCTGAGTGATGATGAAATCTGGACAAGAGGAAATGACAGCACCATGAAACTCTTCAGCATCAATCAGGGATCACTACTCAAGTCAATCACAACCAGGTCAGGGAACATACCATATAACATAGCAGTGACAAAAAGTGGAGATCTAGTTTATACTGATTACAGTGATAGAACTGTGAACATTGTGAAGAATGAGAAGATAGAGGAGGTGATCAGACTACAGAACTGGGAACCTCGCGGTGTCTGTAGTATCTCCTCTGGTGACCTCCTGGTTATCATGGTCAGTGATGATTACAAACAAACAAAAGTTGTCCGTTACTCTGGCTCCACAGAGAAACAAACCATTCAGTTTGATGATAAAGGTAAACCTCTCTATTCATCTGGTCTTTATTACACATACTACATTACTGAGAACAGGAACCTGGATATCTGTGTGTCTGACAGTGAAGCTAATGCAGTAGTGGTGGTCAATCAGGCCGGGAAACTGAGATTCAGGTACACTGGACATACTCCTGCTCCAAAGAACCAACTATTCTATCCACAAGGAATCACCACAGACAGTCAGAGTCACATCCTTACGGCTGATCATAACAATGACTGTGTCCACATCATAGACCAGGATGGACAGTTCCTCCATTACATAGACTGTGGACTGAGTCAACCCTATGGACTGTGTACAGATACAAATGACAATCTGTTTGTTGCTCAGTGTGGAAACAGACAGATGAAGAAAATCAAATATCTCCAGTGAAACACATCATTGTGTTGTTTTCAATATAATAATAATAAAAAAAAGAGGTATGCAATAGTACTGATATATAAGCATTCTGTTCTGTGAAAACTCAATTCTTTCATATGAAGTATAAATATTAAACATATGTATAAATGTGTGTAAACAAAGTAAAACCTTGAATAATTTTGAAGTGAATGCCAGAGGATTATTTAGTATTATTTTAATTGTTTGGTATGTTTTAAACAAGAGGTCCAAGACCTTATAGGTCATATGAGTATCATGTAACAATTTTCCAATTGAATAGGTTTGTGTTTTAAATAAGAGGCCCACAGGTCACCTAAGTATCATATGTAAGTACTTTCCAACAATTTAATTTCATTATTGTTTTTAACCACATTCCATGAAATTCAAAAATTTTGAAAGAGGCACCATTGCATCATGTGTATACATGTTGAATGTTTTAAGTTTGATTTCTTATTACCCACAGGCAGAGTAGGGGAACAAAAACAAGAGGCCCATGGGCCTTATACACGGCCAGGAACACGTTAAGTTCCAAGACAGTACCGTTGTCAGAAACATTTAAAGTTAAGCAATAAAAATGGCTTGTTGTCATGAAAATACAGGTAAGGTTATGACAAAAACTGTCCGATGTCATGACTTTAGAAGAGAGAATGTGAGCAGTTTTTCATTTTTTTTAGTTAAATAGTTTCAACCAATGTCTGAAATTGCAATGGGGAATAGGACTGACACCCCTTTTGGTGTTGTATAAATTTCAGCCGTTAAAATGAAGTAATAAAGGAGTTTGCGTTGGCAATTACATGCCCATGTGTGAAGTCATTATCGTCAGCCGTAAAATTTTATATTTCTTACGTAAAATTTATCAAAATGGTCTTTTTATTTTGAAATATAAAGAAAAACTTAATTCTACACGTGTTAGGCAACTGACAGCCTATTCTTGATAGCAGGCCTTAAGAAATCGTAATTTATAAGCAAAACGTCCGTTGTCTGTCCATGTTAAGTTTTTCTAGTCTGGTGTCTTTTTCTTAACATACAAGTTTATCAATAAAGCAGTCTGACTAAAGCCAGTTCCTACTATTTCAATTTGTTAGAAGTGAAATAGTAAGGGCTGGTTTTAGTCAGACTGATCAATAATAAGTATATAACAAAAATGATCAAATGTATATATATTCTTAAGAAAGAGAAAGCATATTGCAGAAAATTTTGAATTTTTTTTTTTTTTGGGTGGGGGGTGGGGGGGGGGGGGGGGGGTGTCGTCTTAAGAGTAGTGTATAAATGCCAATATGCTTATCATTCTGTGAAGTTTTTAGTCAATTCATTCTCATACTAGACTGCAAACGTATAACAATTCCTGAAATATTATCAGTAAACCAAAAATAAAATGTTTAATCTGCAAATACTTTAACTTACAGAAGTTTTTAATACGTATTAAAGAACGTAAGCGCTTTTGATTGGCATTCGGCAGGAATCTGGGCATAATTGAAAGTGATAATCTTATGAAAATGTCACATGAAATTTTAACATTTTTTTTATTTATCGGGTTCCTGTGCAACAGGAAAGGAAAATATTTTCACGAAATTGAGCTTTGATTTGCTAAAAAATAACTTGAAAATTGGCCAGATCACACATTTGGTACAAAATGGTACATTTTTAAACACGTTTACAAATTTTTTCTATCTCTAGGTCTACTCTCCATGATTTTTAAACGGTATTTGTGTGTATTTTAATTCAAAGAAACAGGTACACATTTTTAAACAAGAGGCCCATGGGCCACATCACTCACCTGAGAAGCTTTGGCCATTCTGTACTTTACTAGATGTAAAACTTTGATTCCCCATTGTGGCCCCACCCAACCCCCGGGGGTCATGATTTGAACAATTTAGAATCTACACTATCCCAGGATGTTTCAATATAAGTTTCAGCTTTTCTGGCCCAGTGGTTCTTGAGAAGAAGATTTTCAAAGATTTTTCCTATATATTTCTATGTAGAACTTTAATTCCCCATTGTGGCCCCGCCCAATCCCCAGGGGTCATGATTTGAACAATTTAGAATTTACACTTCCCCAGGATGCTTCCAAATAAGATTCAGCTTTTCTGGCACAGTGGTTCTTGAGAAGAAGATTTTCAAAGATGTTTCCTATTTTTTTCTATGTAAAACTTTGATTCCCCATTGTGGCCCCACCCAACCCCCTGGGGTCATGGTTTGAACAATTTAGAATCTACACTATCCCAGGACGCTTTCACATAAGTTTCAGCTTTTCTGGTCCAGTGGTTCTTGAGAAGAAGATTTTCAAAGATTTTTCCTATATATTTCTATGTAAAACTTTAATTTCCCATTGTGGTCCCACCCAATCCCCGGGGGTCATGATTTGAACAATTTAGAATCTACACTATCCCAGGATGCTTCCACATAAGTTTCAGCTTTTTCTGGCACAGTGGATCTTG